AAAAGCCAAGCGTCTCGCGTATAAGTGCGAGAGAGAAAGAAATTCGCCAAGCGGCAGTAGCGTTGTTTTTCCGGCAAAGCCGCATGGCGTTCCCCCGCGACCCTCTGAGAGTGGTTGCACCCTACCCTCACTCGCCTGGGTGTGCGAGAGAGACAGAAAATAGCCATGCAACTCGCCTAAGTGTGCGAGAGAGATAGAAAATAGCCAAGCGTCTCGCGTATAAGTGCGAGAGGGAAAGAAAATCGCATGGCGTTTCCCCGCGACCCTCTGAGAGTGGTTGCACCCTACCGTCACTCGCTTTGGTGTGCGAGAGAGACAGAAAACAGCCAGGCAGCTCGCCTAAGTGTGCGAGAGAGATAGAAAATTGCCAAGCGTCTCGCGTATAAGTGCGAGAGAGAAAGAAAATCGCATGGCGTTCCCCCGCGACCCTCTGAGAGTGGTTGCACCATACCCTCACTCGCCTGGGTGTGCGAGAGAGACAGAAAACAGCCACGCAGCTCGCTTAAGTGTGCGAGAGAGATAGAAAAAGCCAAGCGTCTCGCGTATAAGTGCGAGAGAGAAAGAAAATCGCATGGCGTTTCCCCGCGACCCTCTGAGAGTGGTTGCACCCTACCGTCACTCGCTTTGGTGTGCGAGAGAGACAGAAAACAGCCAGGCAGCTCGCCTAAGTGTGCAAGAGAGATAGAAAAAAGCCAAGCGTCTCGCGTATAAGTGCGAGAGAGAAAGAAATTCGCCAAGCGGCAGTTGCGTTGTTTTTCCGGCAAAGCCCATGGCGTTCCCCCGCGACCCTCTGAGAGCGGTTGCACCCTACCTTCATTCGCCTGGGTGTGCGACAGAGACAGAAAACAGCCAGGCAGCTCGCCAAAGTTTGCGAGAGAGATAGAAAATAGCCAAGCTTCTCGCTTATATGTGCGAGAGAGAAAGAAAATCGCATGGCGTTCCCCCGCGACCCTCTGAGAGTGGTTGCACCCTACCCTCACTCGCCTGGTTGTGCGAGAGAGACAGAAAACAGCCAGGCAGCTCGCCTAAGTGTGCGAGAGAGATAGAAAATTGCCAAGCGTCTCGCGTATAAGTGCGAGAGAGAAAGAAAATTGCCAAGCGGCAGATGCGTTGTTTTTCCGGGAAAGCCGCATGGCGTTCCCCCGCGACCCTCTGAGAGCGGTTGCACCTTTACCCGCTTGGGTGTGCGAGAGAGACAGAAAACAGCCATGCAACTCGCCTAAGTGTGCGAGAGAGATAGAAAAAAGCCAAGCGTCTCGCGTATAAGTGCGAGAGAGAAAGTAATTCGCCAAGCGGCAGTTGCGTTGTTTTTCCGGGAAAGCCGCATGGCGTTCCCCCGCGACCCTCTGAGAGCGGTTGCACCCTTACTCGCTTGGGTGTGCGAGAGAGACAGAAAACAGCCAGGCAACTCGCCTAAGTGTGCGAGAGAGATAATAAAAACCAAGCGTCTCGCGTATAAGTGCGAGAGAGAAAGAAATTCGCCAAGCGGCAGTTGCGTTGTTTTTCCGGCAAAGCCGCATGGCGTTCCCCCGTGACCCTCTGAGAGCGGTTGCACCCTTACTCGCTTGGGTGTAAGAGAGAGACAGAAAACAGCCAGGCAACTCGCCTAAGTGTGCGAGAGAGATAGAAAATAGCCAAGCGTCTCGCGTATAAGTGCGAGAGAGAAAGAAATTCGCCAAGCGGCAGTTGCGTTGTTTTTCCGGCAAAGCCGCATGGCGTTCCCCCGTGACCTTCTGAGAGCGGTTGCACCCTTACTCGCTTGGGTGTAAGAGAGAGACAGAAAACAGCCAGGCAACTCGCCTAAGTGTGCGAGAGAGATAGAAAATAGCCAAGCGTCTCGCTTATAAGTGCGAGAGAGAAAGAAATTCGCCAAGCGGCAGTTGCGTTGTTTTTCCGGCAAAGCCGCATGGCGTTCCCCCGCGACCCTCTGAGAGCGGTTGTACCCTTACTCGCTTGGAGGTGCGAGAGAGATAGAAAATAGCCAAGTGTCTCGCGTGTAAGTGCGAGAGAGAAGGAAAATCGCCAAGCAGCCCGCGAAAGTGTACGAGAGAGATAGAAAATGGCCTGGCAGGACAAATATGTGTGCGAGAGAGATAGAAAACAGCCAGGGAGCCCGCGAATGTGTGTGAGAGAGACAGAAAACAGCCAGGGAGCCCGCTAATTTGTGCGAGAGAGACAGAAAATAGCCAGGCATCCAGCTTAAGAGTGCGAGAGAGACAGAAAACATCCAGGGAGCCCGCTTATGTGTGCGAGAGAGGCAGAAAACAGCTAGGGAGCCCGCTATTGTGTGCGAGAGAGACAGAAAGCAGCCAAGGAGCCCGCTAATGTGTGCGAGAGAGATAGAAAATCGCCTGGTAGGACCAACAAGCGTGCGAGAGAGACAAAAAACAGCCTGGGGCCCCGCTAAAGAGTGCGAGAGAGAAAGAAAATCTCCGTACGGGAAGCCGACACGCCGCCGCTGGGTCGCCATGTGCGAGAGAGACAGTAAATGGCCCTGGCAATATTGCGTATAATGCTCGGAAAGTAGCCTGAAAGTAGAAAGTAACCTCCAAAGTATAGTAACAGTTTATCTCCATCTGGTTCAAGTACTTCAAGTTACTAGACGAAGTGAAGTGCTTCACTACTTTTAGCTGTTTCTCAAGCCTCTGGATGTAACATATAAATACAAAGTTTCAAAAAGTAAAAATAATTTCATGAAATATTGTCGTGAAAAATCGTTTTAGTATCTTTCATGAAATTTCGCAACTCTGTCAGTGTGTGATTGTGGATTGTGACCATGGGGTGATTACGTCTTTAATTTGGGTGATTATTGGCACACGGATGCTTATTTTTTAGAGCATTCTCGGTACATAGTCATATCTAATCTTATCCTCCCCTAATGGAATCTTTCTGATTCTTGAAAAAACTACACGTCCCCATACGTTGCCGCCTTCCATGACAATAAGTAGTGCTAATGTTTATAACCAAAAACCAAAGGATCTTGAGGTTGTCTTGAAATGAGTCGCAAGAGGAACTTCTTGAAGAGTAGCCTCGAGGATGCATCATTCAATATTATTCTTCAGGTAAGGTGGTTTTCTAAAATGAAGCAATAATGATTTCCTATAAATATTGATAGCAAGCCACTTACGTTGAGGCTCGTTAATCCGATACTCCCGACCTGAAATTTGTGGAAGTCTGATTTGTGGGCTCATTAATTTAACTTTTTATCAGCCCTGATTCACAGGGGTACTGTTTCACGTTTTTGCAGGACCAGGCAAGAAGTGATTAGTTTTTCCTCTGTTTTCTCCTCCTTTTAATTTACCTATGCACCTTTAAGTGAAGTATTGCCGGCAGCGATATGGTTGCGCTCATGAGTGAAATAATTGATTTGGTTGTTCAGATAGTTAATGATTGACTGTAAAACTAGCCTGTAAAACAAAAGAGAAGCAAGCGGAAACTCCCTCTGACAGCTTTTCTTCTTCTCTCTTAGTCCTGGAAGATTTTCCCCGGCCCGCTGTTCCTAATGCAGTGCCTAGTAAATGCCCTGCTTGCCACCTCCGAAATGGTGCCCCTGAAGATCCACAATTTGACACCGTTGCCAACAGAATTGGCCAATCAGACCTGCCGGTTTTTGATAGATACAACCTTTTTTGAACCACCTTGCAAGACGGTACCAAAATTATGCTCAAATTTGTGATTCACAAGCTACCAAATACGAAATAAAATGGCAGACGGGAGGTTCGGGTGGAAAAGTACTACCAAACCTCTAACTAAAATTTGCTGTAAAGGTTTCAACCAATTAGCCTTTTTTTTTGTCTTAATGACCATAAATAGGTACTTAAGTGGCTCATTTTCAAAAGAATAAATGTTTCATCAGTTCCTGATGCAAAATGGTGCTATCAAGATGAACAGGAATAGTAGGTAGTTCCTCTTTGCAAAATGTAGTGCATTGGTAAACTGATTGCTTTAATGAAAGAGGCTTTAGAAACAATATCTGTAAAATGGTGTACGCTTAAGGACCAGTATCAAAAAATAGTTTTATGATATTAATGCTAGAGACCTCTGTAGTAGATCACTTTTAGAAATTCTTCTCTTTCATCTCCCTCTAAGAGCATGCTTTTATTTCTGCTCCAACCATATGTGAATTGGTTGGAAATGTTCATTAAAAAATTTGATCAATTTGTCAGAAAAGCTCCTAAGATTGGAAGAGAATGGTTATGTCTTTGTTGGAGAATTTCCCTAGCTTTGCGCAGTAATCAGGAATGCTCATTTCAGGAATAAAGAACTTCTCATGGACTTTAAAGGCATTTTCTAAGCTTCTCCTACGTATCTCTCTCATTACATTTATACTTAATATCTTTATTTTACGAGTCTCTCTATGATTTTTCTGATCTATGCACATGCTCTCTCTTCTAGATTCTCTTCCGTGCGGTGACATTCTTCCTGAATGCATTCGTGCTACGTCATGTTAGCCAGGATGTTATTGGTGTCATGAATGTCAGACTTCTTCTGCTGGAATCAACTTTACTCTTCCTCAGTCGTGAAGCTTTCCGTCGAGCATGCTTGACCAAAACTCTGGATCATCATTGGCCGCAAGTCATCAATCTACTCTGGTTAACGTAAGCAGTTTTATCTGAAATCTCTTACACCTCATCCGTGCAATTCAGGGAGATGACATACTTCAGGTACCAAATTGAGAACCTAAGCTGCCTAGAGTACCTATCTACTGAATCATTTTATTTGCCAGGTCCTCTATCTCTGCCCTCCTTTCCTGTCAGCTCTATTTTTTTAAACTAAAGATTCCAAGTGTTGTATATCGCTGGTGTAAGTCGTCAATCACATAGCTCGGTTTGCAACATCACAGAGTTTCTGTCATACTTTATTTTTTAAGCGGAAAACTACTCAACGGCATTTCTTTAAAACTGTCGTGATTTGTCTTCTCTATGCGAAAAAAATTCTGCAAAGACTTCAAGTGATGTCAACTTGCTCTCCTTTAAAAAAATAACTTAGAGGCGAAGATTTGCAGACACCGCAAACGAGATATGTGATTGCAGACTTATGCTGTCAATATATAATATACATAATATTCCCCGAACTTGGGCCAAGACACAGGTAGGTGCAAAAGATTTGAATTGAACGATCCCCTGTCTCAGCCCGAGTTCGGGGACGACTCCAGGAACTTGGGGCTGGTGACTGCATAAGCTGCAGCACCTTTCGCATCTTCTCTTACTTTTGACTCTGCTGAACACCACTCTGAAATTTTGCATACGCATAGTCAAAGGGGTCATCAACATCTCATGAAATTTTCAAAGAAAAAAAAGGTCCGATTTTGAGTCATATTGTTTTGGTTCTCAAAATTTGCGCCAGGAAAAAATTTTGAGTTAAGCCCAATTTTGTTATACATATCTGAAAATCTCTTTCTCAGGGCTTACCAACAACACCAGAATGGTCGATTTGGGATGAACCGTTCCGGAGTTACACATCACTAAAGTGGTGACATCCCTCAAAAGAGGCCAACTTTTGCAAACTTTCAGTGTCTCATGGAAGCTCAACGGGTGATTGAATCAACTTAAAATTTTGGATTTTTACTGAACTGTGCATGTACACTGAGTAAGCTTTTCATCAAATTCTGAGGGAGTCACTTTTTTAAAGTGGCACCAGTTGGCATGGAATGACCCTGAAAATGCTAAACCGATATGAAGTTGAAGATTGGCAGTTCTAAATTGATTACTTTGAAACATCAATTCTTGGCTCAAATAATTGACGAAATTGCATTGATTTTTTGGGGTTACTTTAAAATCAGAATTGCTTTCTTGAACTGATGAATGACTAAAATTGGCAAAGGATCAAAATCAAACATTTTTTGTCGACTTTTAAAAGTGGTAATAGTAATGGTGCCACGTTGGCATTTTCCATCATTATTCGATCCTGAAAATCGTTACCTCTAGTCAATTTGAAGGTAAATTGATTTTTAGCTGTGGAATTCAAATCAAATTGATTTTATTTATGTTTTTTAAAAAGAATCAAATTAATTTATTGAAATGTATAATTTTTCAAAATTCGCCTACCCTAACGGAGTTATGACTGTTCAAAGTCTGTAACTCAAGTGTAGCAGTTAGGAAGAAGAGCTTTCTAAAGTTTCAGTCAATCTTGTTAGGGCCAAACATTTTTTTATTCAAAATGTGATTTCTCATCTTCCATTGGTGCCAAAATGTATTACCTATTCACAACTCATTCTTTGGGATATCAGAAAATGTGTCCCATCATAAAGTCAAATTCCGATTTTTTTATTCAACTTCAAAATAATTGATCTTTTAAAAAAAATTTGTTCCTGTGAACTAGAGCCTCATTACTCATTGACAATCACAGATTTTGAAATATATCCGCTATTTATTAATTCAAGAAATAAATAAAATGGGCGAATTTTCGACTGTTTTAATTGTAATAGCAACTTAAAATTACTCTCAACTCTTGTCACATTAGTTTACTTAATATTTTTTTTTTTTTTTTACCGTAGATTTAGAAATGATATAAAAGAGCAATTCCCTTGTTAGAGAAGGCTGAATCTGCAGACAGTATCAGCCTCTTTGCAACTATGTCCACAGTAATTATTAAGTTTTCAAAAGCCATTGTCTATATTTTAGGGTTCCAATATGCAGTGTCCTGAGTGTGGTCTTCGGTTACATCTGGTTGCACTATCTAACACCTCCGGATCCATCGATCACGGAGCATTATTACATCGGAGTGTGGGCAATGGCCTTAAGCTGCATTCTGGAAATGACTGTAGAACCTCTTTACCTCGTTTCTCAAGCATTTCTGTTTGTCCGTTTACGAGTAAGTATATTTCTTAAGCTGTTACCAGTAAGCTATCAATTTTTAAAACCACACTTCGTGTAACAGAATATTTGCTCACAGATATGATGATATTCAACATTCTTCCTTACCATAATGATTACTTCTCGAAAAGATAAAAGGAAACTTTATAATGCCAGAGAGCCCTTCATAAACTATGTTACACTTTAGGAGGGAGAGGGGATTTGAAGCCATTTTTTACGTGTCAGAGGATAGAGAATTCCATCACAAAAGTGTTAAGAATGGGAAGGGAGGTCGAATATTCTGAACTTTTACTGGAGGTTGTTAATCCTCAGGAAGCAGTTGCAATGAAATTGCTTACCCATTGGAATCTTTTTGCAGTTCTGTATTGCTCAAACTCTCTTAGGGCACTTCAAGCATTTTTATCAGGATAAAATGGCGATTTCTCGATTGCTTGCAAGTTGCTCATTGTTTTTGTGTAGGTTGCAGAAATTATCTGCAATGATCATAGCAGAAGATAAGACAGGCGTTGATGGAGCATTAAATTTTCTCACCACTTTTTTCAACAAATTGTAAATTGGAAGGATATTGCAATTTTTCCTCCAATGAATACCACTTGGGGGTGATTGCAAGTCACGTGAAAATAAAGTGCTCAATGTTACCAGTGTTGAATTTTTTTAATTTTATTTTGCAGGTTGTTCTAGAATCACTGATTGTTGGTGTTAGAACGGTCACTTTTACTTGCATAGTTTTAAGATCGCCCAAGGGTGCAATCATAGCGTTCTCAGCAGCTCAGATGCTGTCGATCACCTCTTATGTTGTCTGCTTTTATTCATATTTTAACTACTACACAAAACAAAGGAGAAAGACATTAGCATCAATAGATGACGTGTCTAAACTAGCAAGGAGGCAAAGTATCGAGGATGAGTTCCCTTTCACAAGTATCAAAGATTTTCTCCCATCTTTCGAAGGATTTGGAACGGAGGTAAAGTCAAATTGCAGCTATCTTGCTTGTTTTGTTACTATTATTTGTTGACACATTTATGCAAAAAAAAAAAAAAATTAGTTCATTTTTCATGAGGAGCTCCTTTTGTATAATTGTAATGGCGAAACTAGTTTAATATCAGGATATTTTAGATCTTTCGTCGACTCCGGTTGCAATGCATCTATTTCGACTCATCATCCACCGCAAAAATTTCCTGAGGCAGCGAAGAGTTCTGAAATTACCAATGATGATAGTAACTCGGGAGTCCTCTTATGCAGGTTATGACAGGTGGCACTTGTGGGAAAATTGAATCGTTCATCTCTCCGAATCAAACTGATCTCAAAGTCAAAAGTATTTTCTGAAAGAACAGAAACTTTTTGAACCAAAACCGAGAAAATTGTGCCCAACCCTGAAATATCAGGAAAAAGTCAAGGAATTTAGCTGCAGAACCTTGGAATTTTTTCTTCTGGCCATAATATTCAATTTTTCCCTCACAATCATCCCCGAAAATCAGAACTTCTGCCTTACATTCTCAAATTCAGATCATTTGAATTCAATTTGTTTCTGCAAAAAGCATTTTTTAAGGAAATAGCTCAGAAGAAACATTGACAAGGTGAAAACTTGTCATCCTGTGTTTCTTACTTAACCACAAAAGCACCTATCTGCACAAGGAAACTAATAGCATATACGCTGTCTCTAAAATAAGCAAGAAATAGTAGTTCCATATTGCAGAATGCAGTCCAAATTAACCATTAAACTATCATATCTAACTAACCGTCCAATCATGTAACTAATTGCGCTTGCTGCCTAATTTTTTGTGTACTGGAGAAAATTTTCCCGTCCAAACTTAAAAACCAGAGTTTTCACCAAATTAAACAGTTCCCTTTCTCTGTAGATGGTAGCATATGTGTTTTTGTGTTGGTAATTTTCTCTGAAAAAATATTCGCTTTCAAGAATTTGGGGGTGTGTTGCCTAAAAAAATTAAGTCTCCACATTGACGTACACTTTAATTCAACGATGGATGTTTTAATTAAATAACTTGAAAATGGTTTCAGCCTTTAGTTGATTGGAAGCTGGCCCGACTGACAATGAGTTTCATGAAGCAAGGCATCTTGAAGCAAATTTTAACTGAAGGAGAGCGTTACGTAATGACTCTCTGCTCTATACTGTCATTCAACGAACAAGGAGTTTTTGATGTCGTCAATAACCTAGGCTCTCTGGCGGCAAGGTTTTTGTTCAGGCCAATAGAAAACTCAGCTTACTTTTACTTTTCTCAACTGGTCAGCCGTGATACTTCTATCAAGGATCAGAATAAGGTAATGGGAGTTTTGATCCCACTTTTAAAGTCATGAGTTTTCCATCTCAAGTTGAAGAAAAATTAATTTTATGATTCGCCTGCAACAAGTAGGGTGACAGTGTCTTGAAAAGTCATGATAGACAAAGAAAACAAAGGGCCAAAGGAGCGATCCGATTGGTGGGCGGGTGGTTGCAGGGCCCAGAATAAATAAGTAGTTGACTAATTAACGGCAACCCATGAGGGACCCGATAGCTAGTCCAAAATTTTCCCTCTTAGTCCATAACAACCTATTATTTCAACCAATTGGGTCGCTCCGTTTTCCCCCTGCTCTTTTTGTTTCTTGCTTTGTCTATCAATTTCAATGATCAGTCTGCTGAAAAAGTCATACAATTTTACTTATCTGTGAGAGGTCAAGAAATGTTGTTGGCCGACCTCAATATTTACTGCAATTATAAGTTTGAAAATTTTCTTTCTACAATCAGTTTCGTATGTCTCAAAATCTAACATGTGATCAGTTTCTGCTCTCAAATTCCAGATTTTACTTTGTTTCAATTTTTAAATTTTTTCAAAAGGATTCAGTGTGAACAATATCACATGCAAAGTGCATCTCACGCCATTCACCTTTCAGGGTTGCCACAGTCAGGGAAAACCGGGAAATGTCAGGGAATTTTAAAAAGTCAGGGAAAACTAGAAAATATCAAGGAAAATTTATTAAATCACTTTCATTTGCTTTCTAGAATGGGTTTGAGGTTTCGAACAACAAATTTTGCCTGAAAACTATTTTCAATCATGCCTTCTTAACCATCCGGCTCATTTACAATTGTCAGGGAATTCCACCAAAATGTGTCAGGGAATTTTATTTTCTAAATTCTGTGGCAACCCTGACCTTTGAAACGACAGGGAAAAATCAGGAAAGTTTGTTCTAGAAGCCTGCAAATTTTGGAATCCAAGTACATCTTGCCATCCTGATGCAGTTGTTCGTAGAATCTGATATATTAGTGAATGTTCACAATCAAATATCTCGGACCCTATACCTTTAAATAGACCACTAGACAAGGTATAATTTAAAGCACTATGCAACATATCGTCTCTTTGAAATTTCATGATAACACGAATTACGCAATAAAATCTAAATCAACTCCTAAACCAAATATAAGTGTATACTGTCAACTATGATTAAATGGCGAACATACTTGCAAATTATATCATTTGTTATAATCTGACTTCCATTTGATCTGTTTTAAAGATATGTGTCAATATCTCGTTCAGAAGTTGATTGCCACCCCTCTTGTTGAGTGAATCATTTTTCACATAAGATTTTGATAAGGAGATGTATGGCGTTTATTTCTTGCTCAGACCTTGTCTAGAGCGCATTAAATACATTTTAAATGGACCTAAAACGAGCTTTCAAATAATTAATCCATAGTTTTTATCTGATTTTGTTTAATTCAACACCCTATCCCCTAGAAGTATTAATATGCATTTACAATATTAATCACATAATTGCCAGAGTATCAACTATATCTCAGGATGGGATGCAGTTTTTCAAACTGGTTATACCTCCATTTTTCCAACTTTAGATTTTAACATGTATCTGTGTTTTTTACGGTTGATCATCTGATTTTTAACTCATCTTTCTCCCTCCAATAGCAATCTATGATCGAAGCGGCTACTGTGCTTGAACAAATACTTCATTGTGTTATGAGTCTTGGTGTCATTGTCCTGTGTTTTGGCCAGGCGTACTCGCGACTCCTTTTGTTCCTTTATGGTGGATCTACTTTTGCGCAAGGAGTCGGCCCACTACTCCTCCGCTCTCATTGTATGGCCATCCTTTTCCTGGCGATCAATGGAATAACTGAGTGCTATGCCTCAGCAACAATGAGCCCTACAGAAATAGACAAGTGAGTAATATTTGAGCGTCTTTAACTCAGCATCAAACTTTAAGCCCAAACAAACCTATTTACATAGATACGTAAATAAAAACAATTACCTGTATTAATACAAAGTCTTACAGTCGCTCATCAATACATTGTGTCGTAATGAATTCAATTTAACCTGCCGAGAGTACCTCGAAAAATTTACAATTCCATCTGAGCAATACTACAATATTCTGCTAAGAAACACGAAAAACTGCAAGCATGATCTAGGTGTAAATTGCTAATTCTTATCAAACCATGTACACAAAAGTTTTAAATTATAAACCATAATTTTACAGTCAAACTCAATCTAAGTCTGTAGTCTGGTTTGAACCTTTTGTTGGTTTGCACAGCTTTACAAATCACTCCTCAAAAAAGTGTCCATCAACTGATTTGCTTTTCATTTCAAACGTTTTGCAAAACATTCTTATTTTTCTTCTTTTTTTGTTACAGATTCAATCATAAAATGATCTACTTATCCATTATGTTCCTCTTTTTCTCCTGGTTATTCACAAAACTTCTCGGTAGTGTGGGTTTTATTTTAGCGAACTGTTGCAATATGATGTTCCGTATACTTCATAGGTAAGCCTCCACAATTTAAAAAGTGTAATCAGTAGACTCGATCTCAAATTAAACAATTATCAAGGGCAAAGAAGTGACTAAAACATCCTTGACGAAGCTAGAAGAAGCCTTCTCATTTTCCCTTTGTCCATTAATTTTGATGACCTTTCTTTATTTATGACCGATTTCATTCTGAATGTTCATCTTCTTGTAGGTTTTAAAAATTGAATTAAAACCACATAAACCCACGATCACCCCAAAACCTTATTTATCTTATGATGAATAAAAAAATCAACATTACAACAAAAACTACAATCAAAAATAGCAAAACCTGCTTATTGGGAGACCCTCGTAAAATTATGAAAAGTAAAATAAATTTATCAATCTCCTTATTTTTTTATCTTATTTATTATTATTTTAAATTTAATTCCTTACATACTCTTTTGTTCTTCTCATTTTGTGTTTTTTATCAGATTGAGGTTTCTAATTTGACTTTCAATGATAGGTTTGTAGGGCTGGGCAAATATGGCTTTCGGCCTCAAATCGAATCAAATCAAATTAAGGAGAAGAAGTTCAAATATGGACTTGAATTGAATATTGTTACCTATTTCTAATCAGAAACACCTCTTTGTCATTCAACTCAAAGCAAGAATTTTTTATATTGTTTTTATTAATATAGTAAATCATTTCTCTTTATGTTTTATCTTGTAGTTCAATACACTTTATGTAAATTTGGGCATTGAAAGTGTTTTTTTGGTGCCAACTTTTTAGTATAGTTCATAGATAGAATCGCGAAAAATTATTAAGTTTTGAAAGAAAATCTAGTATTTACTATCATTGTTGAAGATTTTAGAATCAGAAATAAATAAATTCATTAGATATTTAATTCGGCAACGTTTTTGTACTAATTCTGATTTGCTGTAGAGAGAAAAAATACAGAATTACCAAAATAAATTTCTGAGTGGGCGCCTCATTGGCAAAACGAGTAACAAAGGAAGCTCCACATCTTTTCCGATTCGGATTTCTGATCACCCTCACCCGCGATTATCCACGATTAGATGATTAGACTGCTCCCAACCAGCGGAAAGACGTCACAATCTCACCATCGCTTTAGCATGCATTCATGGAGTAGCCTGCGAAATATTCGATTCCTATGCTAAATTTCAAACGTACCTCCATTTGTTTGAATAAATTCGAAAATTTGAGGTTTTCAAGTTCGAATCTGAATCAAACATTCAAACTCGAATATTCGAGATTTTTTAATATTAGCTCAGCCCCATAGGTTTGTCTTGCCTCCAAATGGTTTGGTTTTGAAGTAACATGCTCCCTAACATGCTAGGATTTTTCAAGGTGACTAAAGACTTAATAATTGTGGCCCCTCTTAGATATTCGTAGCCTTTTGTGATTCTGAGTACTTTCAGCAGTTTAAACCTTTTTTATATCCAATGAAAAACGGTTCCTGATGAGGTCCACCAGCACTGCAGTGTTTAAAAAGTTAATGATACAATAATAATAGCAATTTTCTTTATTTGATAAGATGCACAGAGAGGTGTGCAACAATTGCGTCTGATTTTTTTAACGGATCACAAAAATATAGGAATAAAATACATGATAGAATAAGGTAGGCAATTTACTTCAACGAGCCCCTCTGAAAAAGTCTCCAATTAAATGGGGGTACTTCTCAATTTATCATCCTGATTTATTGGTAGTAATATTTATGATAACTAAAATTTGTTTTTTTTTTTTTTTTTCCAGTACAAATTTTATTAAAAAGCGGTATAAAGAAACTTCTTTCAGGCCCCTAAAAGGGTTAGTGCCAGGAAAATTATTCTTTATATCGTCCATATCTTCATGTGTGCTGACGTTGATTTCGGAGGTTAGTTTACTTACTTTTCATGGCTTTCCTTTTATTGGTCCAAAAATGGAAAAGATATCGCCAGGTATTTGGTGAAGCTGCCATGCTAATTCATGTATCAACTAGTTACATTAGGATCTCAAATTTATACCTTTACTGTCAGTAAGCTAACTAATTTTTTACGCACAATGGAGATGTTGCATGTGTGAGGAATTGCAATTTGACTACTTACCGGTTTTTATGTAAAAGTTCGCAAAAAACACAATGATGCCACTGGTTTTCTCTGAAATTAACTCTCAAGCTCAAAAATGGCTCTCAAGTTAAGGCCAAAATGGAGGGGATATCCCACGCTATCCTGAGAGTCTACCTCTACATCAAGACAAACTCTCCATATAAAGATAGGCAGCAAATACATTAGCAGGGTTGCCGTGTTTTCAGTTGTGGAGTCCCCAAATAAAGTTGCAGCCCTGTCAATGTATTTGCTCCGTATCTTTGCTTACAGAGTTTGTCTTGATGTAGAGGGGGACTCTCAGGATAGCGTGGGATATTCCCTCCATTTTGGCCTCACTTTGAGAGCTTTTTTTGAGCTTGGGAGTTGATTTCAAAGAAAACCAGTGGCACCATCGTGTTTCTCACGAACTTTTACGTAAAAACCAGTAAGTAGTCAAATCGCAAATTCCTCACACATGCAACATCTCCATTGTCTGAATTCTCACAACCCAAGCAAGAGCTGAAATAAACAAACGCAGCTGCATTTATGGTATGATTTGATGGAATGTTGGAGTTACTTTATAAAAGCAGCCAAAATGCGAACTCTTCTTGAACGCAATTTACCTTTTATCATCATTTCCTCTTGTTGATTTAGGTTTTGTTTGCAAACGCGAATGAGTCAGCTTTCATCCTTGTGCATTTCACCATCATTGCCGGTTAATAGATATATGCGAAAAATGCGTTTCTCATTTTTAAAATTTTATAGTGTGTCTAGTGGTCCGGGAAGTCCGGGATTGCACTATTCTCTTGAAGGCGGTATGGACATTTTGTAAGGAGGTCTGGAGGTCTGGTAGTCATCATAGTTTGTAATTGTAATTAATTGATTACTGTTATTTAACTTATTATTATTATATAACTTGTTATCTTGCTATGCTGAGAATACCTAATTAACTATCTAATGCTTGGCTTCCACTAAACCTTCCAATTTTGGTAGGTTGGGGGGAGGGGACTGACGATATGCTTTAATGTGATTCCGGTGCTCTCTCTCTTTAATCTTGTCCTTCTCAAATATGCCTTTTAAATTATCTGCCTTCTCTGTATGTTTGTTAAAGCCTCCTATCATATTATGTTAAATGTAAATTTCTCAATAAAGGAAACTTAAATAACAAAAAAAGGAGGTCTGGAAATTTCAAGAAAGTTTTTTAAAACAGCCTTGAAAGTATTCAATTCAGTGTGCATTGATTTTGAGCTTGCCTTTAAATTTTCTCAACATTTTATTTTTTTCGGGGGGGGGGGGGCTTCTTGAACTTTCTGAAGTTTTTAAGATATTTCCTCTGTCCTTTAACTCATTTCACTATTTTCGTCTTTTCTTTTTGTTTCAGCATTTCTTCTATGATGATTCTAAGTTAATCCATCTCATGATTGGTGGAGTGTGTTTTCTGTGCACGCTGGGCGCGTGGGTGTATGAGGAGAAAGACTTAGTACAATTAGCTTTTCACAAGTATCAAAAGCTGAGAAAAAAAACCGAATAACAAAGACACTACTTCTAAGTCAGAAGCGAGTTTTTCAATGTTCCAGTGATTTTGGAGCAAGTGTTCTCGCTGGAAAAGCTGTTGTAACATCATAAGCTTTGAATTCAAGTAAGACTCCTAAATTTTTGTTAAAGGATCCCTTTCTTGAGTGCGTATTCAGTCACTTTTTGGTCCAAAACTATGTTGTCCTGTAAAAATTATTGCAAATCTGAAGTCGGCTTGTAATGTGAGCTTTCCAGTTATTAGGAGTGCCACACAAAGCTGAAGGGAAAAGTCATGTTTGAATTGCTCGCCCCACCGGTCCAATAGTTGTATGCAACCTTGTCTGTCCTTCATATGCCCTTGGCCCCTCGCCTAGCTCAATTATCTTTTGTCATCCTGCGAGCTTGACAGCATAATTTTTCTGGTGTGTGTTTTTAGCTCAATTAATCTCGCTATGTAATCGTCCATTCCTGTCTGTCTTTTTCTTGAGGTTGACAAGAGTTGAGACCATTTACAAATTTGACTAAAAACCTGTCTTTGAGGTTGTTCCCGAAGTTTCCTTTATCTGCACGAAGCGTAAGAGAGGTTAAATACACTGCTGCAATATCGCCATCTGCTTGTACCCTTGATTCCAAATTTAGAATACTGGAGTAAAGGATCTTATTTGATTATATGTTTCTTTGAGGAGTGTGACTCATTCGTCAAAGGATTTGTTTGCTAGTTTCTCAGGCAACAGTTGAGTTCTTACGGCGGAATACATATCTACAGATAGGTAGTTAAGGAAGGCCTTGCGTTTGTTCAAGGCCTTGCGTTTGTTCAATGACTCTGTGATTCCATTAAGGTCACAGAAGTTTTCCATCATTTCTAGCCGTACTGAGAGGGAGACTTTTGTTTCAAAAGGCGTCAAAGTTCCAACATAAGTTGCAGTGACGGCATTGGCCGGGTCTTGATTTTGATTGATCTCATTCATTTTTACGCGTTCAACTTTGTTGGGTTGCATGACTGACTTGACACAGTTGACCGTAAAAATAGTAAAGGTGACTGGCGCGGTTGGTAGACAAAAAAAAAACCGATTTTTTCTAAACCCTTGTTACCAATGATATATTTGGTGGACTCTAGGAAAAGACGAACACAGATTGGCGATCTAATAGCGAAAATTGAGCTAAAAATGCATACCAGAAAATTGGTGCTATTGAGCATGCAGAATGACTAAAGACTGTTGAGCCAGGCAAGGGGTCACGGGCAAAGTACAGACAAGGTTGCATACAAGGGGTAGACGGAGGGGCGGGGGACTTCAAACATAACAAAAAGACTGTGCGATTTCGTAATTTTGTTTTATTTTTCCTTTTTAATCCTATTTATTGGATATGCGAAATAGAAGTACATAAAACAGAACTGTGTGAAATGTTTATGTTTACCTTACTTTTTTAGTAGGGTGTAAAACTGAGGTTATTGCAAAGACAGCCAGTCAACTTGACTTTATTATGGTCAATTCATGTAGGGGATAAGGGAAGATTTTTATTCCTCTAAATTATCCCCCCCACCCTTTTTTTTTCAATTTAGTACATAAGAATTTTCATATCAACGGCTGAACACAAAAATGCGTAATTCAATTGCAACGGTACCAGATCTCCAATTTTGTTTTCTTTTTTGTGAGGAAAACTGATTTATATGTTTTTTTGCAATTATGTGTGGTTCTTTTAGAATGGGTGAAGAAAATTCAGATAGAAACTCTTGGTCAGTTTTCCTTTAAAAATTAAAGTATGAGCAGACACTTGCAACATCGCAGTCTCAGATATGCATTTTTTGCCCTCAGCCATTGATATATGCTACGACACACCATGCATTGCGATCATTACTCATTGATTTTAAAGTTTCAGTCTCAAAAACAAATCTATTAAGGTGAACAGCAGGTCCAAGCTTGTCCCGAGGGACACACCTTTTCTCATAAATATTGAACGTTTCTGATATTAACCTTGTATAGCTTTCAAAATTGAATTAGTTTCTCCATAAGAATTTCTGTCACATATTTACCATAATTCACTATTTGATCAAACTGATCAGAACAGCTTCTAGTATATTTTACCCTCATTTCTACAACCTAACCTTCCATTCTCAGCATAAGCAAGCCAGTTGAACCATTTAATTTTGCATCAGGTATGCTTTTTTGGACATATTTATGCCAAGAAGAATTATTTACACAGTGTTTGCTATTTATATATGGTTCTTTATAGGATAAACATGTTCAATTGCACCCTGCCAAAATTTTTAAGCACATTTTGTCAGAGAGTGTACAAAACGTGAGGTAAAAGAAAACAATCGTTTCGAGTGTGAAATCGCCTCATGTCAGGATGTAGTCGGTTGTATTTTAGTTGCCCCTCTGTCAACAACAAACTTGATCTTAAGTAAATTGGTCAAAAATGCAGAACAATCTTCATCTTCACACGCAATTTAGTAATGAATGCAATTTCCAGGGTGTCTACAAGTCCATAATTTCTGGAAAGTCCTTAAATAGTACTGATTTTTTAAGGGTGGTCTGGAAGTACTGAAAAAGTGCGGAATTCCGCAGGAAGGTCCGGAATTTTTTCATTTTTTTGTCATTCTTGTTGCAATTTGAGCGAGAAATTCAAATTTTTGAAATTTGCTGAATTTCGTCAATTGGAGGTATTGAAAAAGTACTTAATTTTTCTGTTGAGGCAGTACTGAATTTCTCGGGAATGTTCTGAAAAAGTACCGTAAAAGTACTGATTTTTGGCCAGCCTGTTTTAGTAGACACCCTGAATTTCCTGTTCCGGTTGCTCAGAGCACAAATAACTTTTCTTCTTCTTTTCCAATTCAATTCTCGCAGGGCAGTTCGATTTTTTGTGGCCCTTATTATTGCCAAATTGCCAAAATGGCATTTATAAGGGAAGGGAGTTTTCGACTGGTTGCTAGTTGATGAATCGCTTCTTGATCGGTGATTAGGATTAGGATTTGGATTTCTACCTTGTTGTTTCCGGAACTTCTTGTTTCCTTTGTCTCTTCCATTATCAGAATAAAACACGACAGATTCATTGCTTTCGGCAGTAGAATTGCCCATCTAATTGAGTTCTTCCTGAAGCAGACGACTTTTCACAAAATCTAACGATATGCCCGAGGGATCTTTAGCAAACAGTACATCAATTGACGCTATCACTGCCGCATCTGACTTCGGCATAGCCATAAATAACAACGAAATTATTTCCTTATCGTCAAGTACAGCACCAGTTCCTTTCAATTCTAACAACTTTTTTTTTTTTTGTTTAAAAGTTTATTTATTGGTATCATAATAACAATAAAGTACAGGAGGGACATTTAAGTTAATTAATATATCTCTTTGATATATACTAGATAAACATATTACTGATTAAATAATATATTTATTTAACATCTTAAAACCTAATAGTTAATTAATATAACGACTTAAGTCCCCTTGCCTAGATATCCCAACGAAACTAGGACTACTAAGGTGAAGGAGCTCAATACCTGCGTCGAGGAGGATGAGATGTCCCTAACGTAAAGAATACCAAGGCAAATGGAGATTAAAGAAGGAGACTAATAGTGTACTATTTTTAGAAACAAAGATTAAAAAGTTCTAAACTAATATCTAAAGGTGTAAAAAACCAATTAAGGATAAAAAGACACCTTCATACTTAAATTGATAAAATCGAATGAGGAATTTATGACCTCAAACAGTGGAAAAACATTAACATACAACAGATAAAAGAAAAAAACGATGCCTATCAGGGCAAGAGAAACGAGAGAGAGATGACTGCGGAGTAGAGAAACTGGCCCCCAGAAAAGAGCAGGAAGAAAGGCCTCTATGACTTTCATCATAAGCTCAATCTGTTCGGATTGTTTTAAAACTACGTCCTCAAGCAGGGTCTTTATACGCTTATCGGAAACATTACTTTGACCAGTAGGAACTTGTAAATTGAAAATGAGCTGAGAAGTGTCTTTTTTGCTACCAGCTAAGGTACCTGCATATGTTTTACCTACAACAGTTAAATTATTTGGAGGGACGAATTTATGATTAACGAAGTTTTGTTCGTTAATTTTGGGTCTCTTACCCATACGTTTTTTGCGTATTTGTTTCTATACTTTACAACCCTTGTAGTTTCTGTCAAGATGTATGGGCGGGAGAAGGGGGGAAAAGGACGGCACACACAGAATAACGCCAGTAAAATCGGCTTTTCATACTAACAAACTTTATTCACAAAACAGATACTTATATACAGGTAATTGTCCTCGGTCAACGCTCGCAGGCGAGGTGCATTCGTCAATATTGAAGAGTAAACATTAAACATAGAAAGGTTATAATGGCTGCTCTACACACACAAATGATAGACTCAACTTGTGATATCGAACAACAA